GTTCGGACATGGGTGAATGACCTGTAATTGGATCTTGCGGGGTAGGGCTTGATTCAAGGGAAACCCTGAACCCTAAACCCTAAGCCCCAAACCCTAAACCCTAAACCCTAAACCCTAAACCCTAAACCCTAAACCCTAAACCCTAAACCCTAAACCCTAAACCCTAAACCTAGCAACCTACAACAAGAATGCACATTAACTGTTTCAACAGGTTCTAGAAGGATGCGTGGCCAAGTGAAAACAGAGCCGTCACCAAAAACTTGGTCCCCCAGTTACCTACGGTGTTTTGGGGGGCTGCAGCCTACTGTCATGCCCGAAACCCGAACCCCTAAACCCTGAACCCTAAACCCCAAACCCTAAACCCTAAACCCTGGTCACTTCCACTTTTGGCCTGCGGCTGCGTGTCAGGAACGATCACCTTGCCACCTGCCGGCACTACTCAGGTTGCGACTGTGCTTCTGACGACAAAAGTTTGTAGGGTTTAGGGATTAGGGTTGAGGGTTTAGGGTTTATAGGGGAACCTGTGTTGGGGCTGAGGCGGTCTGTGATGCATCCAGCGTCAGCGAGAGCCACCTGCTGGTGGATGGCGCCACAACCAGGCTTCGCAAGGGTGTAGGGTGTAGGGTTTAGGGTTTAGGGTTTAGGGTTTAGGGTTTAGGGTTTAGGGTTTAGGGTTTAGGGTTTAGGAGGTTGTGGGTCCAAGGTTTAAGGTTTAGGGTGCCGTAAACCCTAAACCTTAAACCTTGAGAGTTTGGGGGGGGGGGGGGGGGGGGGGGGGGGGGGGGGCGGGGGGCCCTAAACCCTAAACCCTAAACCCTAAACCCTAAACCCCTAAGCATGTCAGAGTCCCCTGAACCCCTAAACCTCCCCGAGGCAGAAGCAAGGACCAATTACCTCCGAGACCTTTGCGGAGCGTGTTGCCGGACCAACGGCGCGATTTGAGGTTGGCTTCCTTCAGGGTTTTAGGGTGTAGGGTTTAGGCTATTGCTCTCAGGGTTTGTGCTGAGAGAGTCTAAGGGTAGCTACGCTTTTAACATATTTTGTATTTTGATTTTCCCTAGGTCCCCTATATTATCCTTACAAAGCCGTTTAGGGTTTAGGGTTTAGGGTTTAGGGTTTAGGGTTTAGGGTTTAGGGTTTAATTAGGGTTTACCCTCACACCTGCGAGTTGTTAAGGGTTCGGCGTGGGCTTCATGGTTCACAGCTAAGCGGGGTCACCCCTTTGCCTTGGCATTCGGTTGCACCTAGGCTTCCATGGGTTGCATATGTGAAAGCCTTCTATACAGCTTCAGGTTTAGGGTTTAGGGTTTAGGGTTTAGGGTTTAGGGTTTAGGGTTTAGGGTTTAGGTCTAGAGCTCCATACCATGCTATACCCATTCACCCCGAATCCTTACTGCATGCATTATAGAATGCACATCGGGCAACACGGGAGTGTTTGCACCCTCAAAAGGCCCTCAACCAAGACAGGTGCACCCGGAAAACCCTGAAGCCATGAACCGTGGGGTCCCAAAAACCTGAACCTACATACTCTCTCTAAGCCCTAAACGCAAGCCTGCTTAGGCCAAACACCCGAAACCCCCTAATTAAACCTCTATATAAAGCCTAAACCCACTTAGTTCGCTAAACCCCTACAACCCTGCTCTGAACGCCCTAAACCCCGAAAACCCTAAACCGTAATCTCTACACCCACTCTCCCAAAAGGTGAGTCACCACCACCGTTGGTTCTACTTTCCAGGGCTGCGCCCGCGACTGAGCCCACGCCTTCGACCAACAGGGCTGATGTAGTCTTAGGGGTTTAGGGGTTGGGGGGGCTGAGGGTTTTAGGGTTTAGGGTTCAGGGGATTGGAGGTTAAGGGTTTAGCGGTGTAGGGGCTGAGGGTTTTAGGGTTTAGGGCTCAGGGATAAGAGGTTTAGGGTCTGAATTCGCCTGCCCGAAAGGCACTGTGTTCGTTCCCTATTTGCCCCATGCTCATTGTTTTTATGCGTGGTTTTGGGTAGGAAAGGATGTAGTAGGCCACCGAGAATGAACTACACGAGAGCTCGGGAGAACCGAGCACCGGAATACCGGACATGTATGGTGAAGCACATGGCTGAGGGTACCCTGAACCCAATAAAACCCACAGCCCGTACACGTTGCTAAGCCCTAATAGCCCTAAACACTGCGAATCAGAAGGCCATGGTTCTAAATCTGAGTCCATTTTGGTCGCTCAGAGCCGAAAACCTACGAAGAGACCCCTTATCCCATTCACACACGCCCTATATCCTGAACCCTAAACCCTAAACCCTTGACCCTAAAACCCGAAACCCTATACATCCTACATCCCGTGCCCTAAACCCTAGACCTTTGCATGTCCCGCGAGCCAGCAAGGGAAGGTCAAGGCCGAAGCCACCTCAATCCTAAACCCTGAACCCTAAACCCTAAACCCTAAACCCTAAACAGATCCAAGAACATGAGGCAAAGCTCAGTCTGCTAACTTACAGGGCTCGCGGGGTGCAGCCCCGAGCCCGGAACAGGTTGGGGGGGTTTAGGGTCTTAGGGTTTATAGGGTTCAGGGTTTAGGGCTGCTTAGGGTTTAGGGTTTAGGGTTGTTTAGGTTTAGGGTTTAGGGTTTAGGGTTTAGTGTTTAGGGTTTTAGGATACACCCATCCTACGGCAGCCGCAAAGCGCCTTAGAGATCGCGAGGTGACACGGAGCTCTTGCTGTTCAAGTGCTTCGACTCGGACCCAGCGGCAACAGCTCGCTACGCCCTTCATTCTGCGCCTTTGGCCCTCACTATAAGAAGGAGTTCTTTTTGGGGGGAGGGCGGGGGGTTTAGGAGTTAGGGTTTAGGATTTTAGGGTCTTTAAGGCTTTCCAGGCTCTATGGAAAATTTTAGGTTCTTGGTGTTTGAGGTTGTGCTTTTTTGCAGGTTGAGGTTGCCTCGCAGGGCCATGTAGCTGAGAGTTGTAGTGTCTTCGCGTTTAGGCCGATGATCATTCTCATGTTTTTTGTTTGTGTTTTTTGGGCGGGCGGGCGCAAGTGCGGGGTTGGGGGGTTTATGGTTCATGCAAGGATGCGATTAAGGAAGGGCACATCGATCGACGATGTGGCGTCAGGATGCATGAAAAGGCATGCAGTTGCAGGGTAGTTACCTCAGGAGGGGGGTTCAAGGGGGGTACGTACAGTAAAGACATTTGCAGTTGCGGGCTTCGACTTTGCTGAGGCTTACCTGGCACAAGCTAGTGGCCCATCCCGGATCTAAAGAGGGCTTACTTGGTACTTCTGAACCCATTTAAACTGTACTTATGCCCCACTTATAAGGCCCTTAAGTGCCCTAATGTGGTCATTTTTGGGTTGTTAAGCACTGTCATTATTGGGTTAAGAAGGGCCGACGGCTTAGCGCCGGCAAAAAAGGGTAGGGCATGTGGTACCCTGGTTCGGTTTGCTTTTAGGTTTTAGGTTTAGGGTTTAGGGTTTAGGGGTTAGGGTTTACAGTTCCATGAGCCCATATCACAGCCCAGAGCTAACCCTCAAGCTATCGGGGCTCCCAGGGTTTCGCGTTTAGGGTCCCAAAAACTTGGAACCTCTTTCTTTAGCCCTTTTAGACGACAAACCAGGAAGGGTCTCTGTTCCAGGGGCCCTTGGGTGCACACCCTAAACCCTAACCCCTAAACCCTAAACCCTAAACCCTGAACCCTGAACCCTAAACCCTAAACCCTAAACCCTCCTCGCCCCGCAACGAGCCGCTCTCCACATCCTAACGTTTGAGTTTGGGGTTTAGGCGTCAGGGTCCATACTTGCATGATAGGGTCCTTAAGGGAGGGGGGGGTTCATGGGGCGTAGGTACCTAGGGAACCTCAGGGAAGCCTAGGGAGCGATACAGGCAGAAACTCAAGACCCAGCCTGGACCCTCAACTCTAAACCCTAAACCCTAAAGCCTGAACCCTAAACCCTGAACCCTGAACCCTAAACCCTGAACCCTGAACCCTGAACCCTGAACCCTGAACCCTGAACCCTGAACCCTGAACCCTAGCTTGCTGAGGCGGTGCGGCTTTCGGGAGACGCCGGGCGAGCAAGAGAATCGGTCGAAGTCCGCACGATCGCCTTGTTTTCAAAAACTTTCGTGCTCGTGGCTTTTGGAATTATAGGGTTTCGAGTTTAGGGTTTAGGGTTTAGGGTTTTTAGGGTTTATGCCTGCTGCGTGGCCTGCAGTTGAAAGGCATGTCATGACCAGGTGGAAGGGTTTAGGGCTCAGGGTGCATCATACTCTGTAGGGTGCTACTGAGGTGTACTCCTGGAACGCCATACGCCTACAGCTTTGCAGTACATACCCTCAACTAGGTTTGACTAGCAGGCATGACCTAAACTGTAGGTAAAAGGAGTCCCAGGCAGGGATTAGAGTTCAGGGGCCTTTAGCTCTTACCTTTTTCACGGCACGGGCTGCTCCTCACAAACTGGGCTGTTCCAAGGATGCTCATTTTTGTTCCTTTTGCAATGAATTCGTAGGGAGGTTCGATCGTAGCAGTCACCTAAATTTAAACATGTCTGCCCCCCCCCCCCCCCCCCCATGGCACGCATGGACTGAGAACTCATTCTGCAACCTTCAGCCCTTTGTCACTTAGTAGTAGAGTAGGTAACCGTTTCATTTTTTCGGGGTCCTATATTCCCATGATAGTCCCAAAGGTCAACCCACAGTTCCCCTAGGATATGGGACAACTAGGGTCAGCGTTGTCCTCCCTGGCCTTGCATTGGCTCAAGATCTGGAGTGGCGATGTTTGATGGGCTTTGAGTCACAAACCTGACCGAGCTGGACGTGCTGTGCCAGCGCCCAACCGTGCGGCGTGCTTACTCCGGACATGAGCAGCATGTGTGAAAATTTTCCGTGCTGAAGAGTACCCTGAGTGCTCTCACCCCTGAGACCCCCTAAATCCGCAACCCTAAACCCTAAACCCTAAAGCCTATAAACCCTAAACCCTACACCCTACACCCTAAACCTCACCTCTGCAGGCAGAGCATCCGAATGGCACCTTCAGATTTCTTGGCGGTGAGCAACAGCAGTGGTTTTAACGTTGATCACATCGCCGTGGAGAGCTTGGCGACCGATGCCCCTTGGCCTTTAGGGTCTAGGGTTTAGGGTTAGGGTTTCGGGTTTAGGGTTTAGGGTTTAGGGCTTCGGCCGAAGTACGACGTCTAGGCGCAGACCGGAAGCCCTCAAGTGCACAAGCTGCTTCAGGTGGCAGCCGCGAATGCCCGGAATCTCAGACTCCACGGCTCTTGATGCATTCACTCTGACTCTGACTGTTACTCTGATTCTTACCATGTTTTCTGTTTACCTGGTATTAATTCTGCTACCATGACTATGACTGTGACGATTACTATGGATATATTACTATGGCTATTACTATGACGATGACTATCACTAGTACTGTTACTATTACTCTTGCTATAACTATAACTATAAGAATAACTATTACTATTACTATTGCTGCTGCTGCTGCTAGTACTACTACTATTACTACTACTACTACTACTACTACTACTACTACTACTACTACTACTACTACTACTACTACTATTACTACTACCACTACCACTACCACTACCACTACTACTACTACTACTACTACTCCTACTACTACTACTACTACTACTACTACTACTACTACTACTACTACTACTACTACTACTACTACTACTACTACTACTACTACTACTACTACTTCTGCTACTACCACTAATACCACTACCACTACTACTGCTACTACTACTACTACTGCTACTACTACTACTACTACTACTACTACTACTACTACTACTACTACTACTACTACTACTACTACTACTACTACTACTACTACTACTACTACTACTACTACTACACTACTACTACTACTACTACTACTACTACTACTACTACTACTACTACTACTACTACTACTACTACTACTACTACTACTACTACTACTACTACTACTACTACTACTACTACTACTACTACTACTACTACTACTACTACTAGTGCTACTGCTACTGCTATTGCTATTGCCATTTCTATTACTATTTCTATTACTATTTCTATTACTATTTCTATGACTATTTCTATTCCTATTGCTATTACTGTTACATACTTTTAGTATTACTGTGACTGTCATTGTCAACTAGTCTTATTGTTGCTCTTATATTGTGCTCTTGCCAGGCCTGGTCTTTCGACTGGCACCTGACCAAGAACCCATGGGAGGGACTCACTTCGTCTTTCTTCATGTGGCTGCCCCAGGTGTGCTGGCTTGGGTTTCGGGTTTAGGGTTTAGGGTTTCGGGTCTCGGTCTTTACTACTATTTGCTTAAGAACCACCCCCCCCCCCCCCCCCGAAACCATATTCCACCTCACACGTGTAATACAGGGATTATGTTTGTTGGGGTGTTCTTAAGCAAAGAGCACAGGATCGGGAAAATCAAGTTCCCTCAAAACGGATATATAGTAACTAGTAGGTCACCCTTGTAATGGTAACTTACTTGCAGGTGGCTGCATAACAAGGGTTCAAGGAGCCACTGCCGCTTACGCGATGCATGTTACTGTCACCTTTTCTTCAAGACCTTAGCATCAACGGACCCGTGTTCTGCCACCAGGGCTAGACCTTTCGTGCTACATTCTGGGCTGTGCTTTGTGATAATTGTTAATTTCCATTCCTTCCTCATAAGGGAACCTATTCACACATGAAGTTTTCAGAGGCTTTAAAGCACAACTCAGCATTGCTCAACTGAGTTCAAGCATACCAGCAGCCGTCAACTCCCCAACCCTACTTGGAGGTTCACCAATTATAACTGTACTTCTATCCCACTTATGAGCCCCTGGAGTGCTCTGATGTGCTTATAATTGGGTTATAAGTACAGTTCCTATTGAGTTAATAAGCACCCTGAACCTCCAACTGAACCATGCAAAGGATCCTGGCGACCGAACTTGGGGACGAGACCTTCATCATTGCTGCCGTCATGTCCATGAGACACCCGAAATTCACGGTGCGCCCGCGCACTCCGATGTCATGCATGCCGATCTAAGACCCTGTAGCCCTAATTACCTGGATCCTGAATGGTAGTTCCTTCTGGGGAAGGCCTAGTTCGGTGGTCAGTAGGATATTAAATCAGAGATTAGGTACACCAAAGCAAGAACTACAGTTCAGGCTCCAGATACTAGGCTCTAGACCTTAAGCCTTAAACCCTAAACCCTAAACCCTATAAACCCTAAACCCTAAACCCTGCAGCAGGTCCTTTGCGGGGCGCTTGGAGCGCTCTACTTGATGACAGTCCTCTCGGCTTTTTTGGGCCGTGGCCCTGGCATCATCCTTCACTGGGCCTTCAGAGGATTTGTGATTTTGGGATGGGTTTAGGGTTTAGGGTTTAGGGTTTAGGGTTTAGGGTTTAGGGTTTAGGGTTTAGGGTTTAGGGTTTAGGGTTTAGGGTTTAGGGTTTAGGGTTTAGGGTTTAGGGTTTAGGGTTTAGGGTTCAGGGTTTAGGGTTTAGGGTACAGGTTGCGCTTTAGGAGCTTTGGGGTTTGGGGCTTGGCTTTGGGGTTTTAAGCCGTCAGGGGCAAAGAAAGCGTTGCGGATGCGGAGGTGCAGTTTGAGATGCTCTGTAGCAGTACCCTTAGTCTCCTTTTTTGGGTTTAGGGTTTAGGCTTTAGGGTTGAAATGCTCTGTAGTAGTACCCTTAGTCTCTCTTTTTGTTTAGGGTTTAGGCTTTAGGGTTGAACCCTAGACTCTGGACCTTATAAACCCTTAGTTTTTTTTTTGGGGTTGGGATCCCATAGAAACGTAACAGCAAGAAACCAAGCGTGTAAGCTCTAAACAAAACAGAAAGCTCTTTTGGCCACTTACGTAGGTTGCTGGGGAAGCGGTGTAGGATGTAATTTGAGAACTTCGGGAGCCGAAGCAGCACTGTCTCCAAGGCGTCGTACTACCGAATCTGATCTCGCAGGAGCGGGTGACTCAATGCGCAACTGGTCATCCTGGCGATATTGAGAGAAGATTTATGGGGTTTATGTCCGGGTTCCCAGGGTTTGTAGCGTTCCCAGGGTTTGTAGCTGGATTAGGTGGCGCCCTGAAGCCTGGCTATTCATTCTCTGTTGAAGCATACGATCCTGCCAGTATTGTACACCTTCTTCGGCCTCCGTCTGATGTGGGTCGGCGCACGCGGCGAAGACGACAAGGACGCCGGTCTCAGCCTCCCTACAGGCCAAGCCCTGAGCCCTGAACGCGCCTTAATACGCCCTAAACATCCCTAAACCTTAAACCCCAAACCCTAAACCCTAAACAGCCCTAAACATCCCTAGACTCAAATACGCTAAACCCTTCCAAAGTCTCTGCCTCGCAGGATGAAGAGTTTGAGGAGGCTGGGGCCGCCTTTCTGTCAGGATGGCTGCGGTTGGGGGTTTAGAGTTTCGGGTTTAGGGTTCAGGGTTTAGGGTTTAGGGTTTGTTTCGGGTTTAGGGTTTAGGGTTTAGGGGCACTTTATGAGCAAGGGCGCTGCATCCTGAGTCCCAACGTGGCCCACCTCGCAACAACAACGCTGCACTCTTTCGGAGGCTGGAGCCCTGCAAGACGGCGAAACCTCAAACCCCCAAGACACCCGAAGGCCAAAGCAGCTTAAACCCCAACCCCACCCAAGATCCCTCAAATCCCCTATTCCAAGAATAGGCCCAGGTCGAGAACACCCTCGAAACAGAGAGAGAGCAAGTCAGCGAAGTAAAGTTGAAAGAAGCAAATCGGGGAAAAAAATAAATAAATAAATAAAATAATGTGAGAAAACAGCGAAGCGCAGGTCGAGAATACCTTGAAGGACTCGGCGTCCAAGGGCCTCTCGGCAGCCCAGTGGGTACGCGTTCTCCCGTCTTTTTGGGGGGGTCCGAGGTTCCCTTGTCAAGGAACCAATGGATTCCCTCCCAAAGAAAGGGAACCCTAAACCCTGAACCCTAAACCCTAAACCCTAAACCCTAAACCCGAAACCCTAAACCCTAAACCCGAAACCCTAAACCCTAAACCCTGTATCATAACGTGGGTCACGGGGCTACCAAGGCCAGAAGTCCTGGCTCCGCCGCATGTTTTCCCAGTTTTGCACGCCGGTCTTCCTGGAGGCGCGCCACGCGGGTGTAGGGTTTAGGGTTTAGGGTTTAGGGTTTAGGGTTTAGGGTTTAGGGTTCAGGGCTTGAAAGTTTCGAAAGGGTTTATAGGGGTTCAGGGTTTAGGGCGTACAAGGATGTTTTGAGGCTTTGAATCCCAAAGGCTTCCCCTATTTTCAGCCAGTATGCGTCTTTTAGGGCTAAACCCACAAGAGCCTCTGAGATGATGAGGGTTTATTTTGTTGAGCTTGGGGTCTGTGGCGTTAGGGGATTGGTCTTAGGGATGCTTAAGGTCAAACGGGTGTGTGTTGCCTACAGGGTTAAGGGTTTGTAGTTCACGATCTAAAGGTCTTTAGGGTTTTAGGGTCTTTAGGTGGTAGGCTTCTGTGTCTGTAGTAGGGTTTAGGGTCAGTCTCTGGGGTTTAGACGTACGGGGTTTGGGGTTCATGGAGGGTGTTTTGGTGTAGGGCTTTTGGGGCTAGGGTCTAGGACCGACTGCTTTAGGGGCTTCTGGGACAGTGTGGTATCCATCGCAGAGGGTTCTTCTTGAGAGTTCAGGTCTGCAGGTCTGCCATCCTGTTGGAATGGCCCGTAATCTAGAACATCCCCACAGCCTGCCCCATAGCTTCAGGGCTTAGCTTCAGGGCTTAGCTTCAGGGCTTATTGCGTTTAGGGCTAATGAAAGCGTGCAAGGGGACCGTGTGCATGTCTAAGGCCTGGAAAACCCTGAACATACCCTAAACCCTAGTTAAACCCTAAACCCTATAGCCCTATAGCCCTATAACCCTAAACCCTAAAACCTATAGCCCTAAACCCTAAACCCTAAACCCTGGTATCCAGGCGCTCATGCTGACATTCCTTGCGGAGTGGGGTGACAGATCCCAGATCGCAACCATCTCTCTCGCGGCCCGAGCCTTGGGTGCGCACGCACGTGCAAGGCTCTCTGGGGCACTGCGCTTGGGTTTACGAGCCACCCTAACCCTAAACCCTAAACCCCTAACCCTAAACCCCTAAACCCTAAAGACTACAGGCACATCAGAACCCGATTGCCGTCATTGTGGGTGCCATGGTGGGGCACACGATCTGCACTGGCCCGGCACTGAGAGCCAAGTGAGCCGACTGTGGCCGTAGGCCCCTTCCCGACATTAGCCTTACAAACAACCCACCACTTTATCAAATTGAAAATACAAAATAATAACAAGAAGACGAAGAAGAGTAATATTAATAGCAATAACCATAGCAATATGAAAAATAAGAAGAAGGATTCAGGATCATAATAATAATGCTAATAGAACAGCATCCCCATAAAGGATCATGACTCATTGTTTGGGTTTAGGGTTTAGGGTTTAGGGTTTACGCCCACGCTTCGCCCTCAAAGCATCGGACGTCTCGGAGATGGTGCTCGAGACAGGCCATGCTACAAGATGCAGACCGAAGAGGGTTTAGGGATTATAGGGGTTTAGGGTTTAGGGTATGTATTAATATACGGTATGAAATGACATGAGCTAGACCGTACGATTCTGCGTGAGCGAACACACGGCGGCTGCAAGTTTAGGAAAGGTCTCAAGGTAGCAAAATTTCTTGACAGGTAAGTTCCCAAAACAGGGTCTCTAATAAATTACAAATAGTGTTCCCTTATGGTCCCCTGTATAATTATACCATAATAACCCCTTATTCAGGCCCCTAGATTGGGATGTAGATGCGACTCCAGGTAATGTAGGGCAATTGCAGCAACTGCAGTGAAAGCAGAGTCGAGAGTGCTGAGGTCTGGCAGTGTTTGGAGGCGAATTTCTTGGCCCCTGCCTCATCCTAGCCATTCTTTCTCTTTCCTTGCGCCCCGAATAGGGTTTAGGCTTTTCTCCGAGCCTGCAACTCCACAGCCTCATGCTCGCGCAAGGCTTAGGGTGAAGCAATCAAAGGGCTCATGGGAGCATGGCTGGCCCTAAACCCTGAACCCTAAACCCTAAACCCTAAACCCTAAACCCTAAACCTTAAACCAGAAGCCAAGCCCCGTCTTGATGACGACAAGGCAAGCGCATCCCACAGCGTTATGTGGCCTTCGGCGGAGGGCAGCAGCCTGAGCATAGTGCCGGCAGGCCCCAAGGCTCCACAAGGACTTTTTTTGGAGGGTTTTTCGGATGCAGCGACTATTCTGCGCAACGCTGTGGGCCGTTGGCTTGGCATGCAGGTGTCAGGGCTTGAATGGAAGCTATGCTACCCCCACCCCCCCCCCCCCCTTCAGTAAGACATCTGGGTTTAGGGTTTAGGGTTTAGGGGACAACTACACCAGAACGCGGAACAGCGCACGGCTTACTCAACCTGCTCTGTGCGGAGCTCCTGCTACTGCAGCGCCAACGGCACAGCGCAGGTGCGCCGCGCGTGTGCGCTCGCTGGCCTGCCCTGGAATCCGTAGGAATCTTTAGGAACCTCTCAAACCGGGTTTTGGAGTACTGTACTGTAATGCTTTTTATGGTTCTGGGTTCTGATTATAGTTTACCTAAAAATTACATACCTTTTTTTTTCCAGGGTCTACTCCAAAGGTGGGCAAACCTTAGACGTTAAAACCGTGAATCCTTCGCCTTAAAATTCAGCTGCTGTGACTGGTATAGGGCTCATGGTCCAGAGTAGTCCCTATAGGAAACGAGGTTTCCTCAAGGCTCGCGTGCACGTGAAGGTGCCTGTTCATCGTCTTCGCCCTGCTGAATCTCATGGGGGTCGGGCTCTTAGACGCCCGTGCAAGTTGGGGCATCCGTTTCCTTACTTCGGGACTGACTATACATGAACCTGGAATTTCGGAATGCAATGGACAATATACGTACGGCTAAAATCCTTTCAAAGGTGTACCAGGTTCCCTTTTAGGTTTTGAAGGCGGAGGAATGCTGTCGGAATTCCCGTGGCTTGAGCCTAGGTGCTGCAGTAGAACGCCTGAGTCTGTGGGGCCAGCGAGAACGCTTTGCCTTTCCAGACGAGCTTGTTCCAGCAGACTTGTCCAAACCTCGTATGTGGCGGTCTTGCCGAGCTGCTCGATTCGTGTGGCAGGGTTTTAGGTTCAGGGTTTAGGGTTCAGGGCCGCCCCCTCTGAGTTCATGCTCGCCCCTCCCCGCCTTCTAGACCGGCTGGGCAAGAATTGAGCAAGCTGAGGGCAAGTCCTTCGCTTTTTCCCGCCATGTTGCGCTCAGAACAGTTACTCCCGGCAGCCGACCGGGAGCGCATGTTTCACCCGGCCACGTGCCTTTGTCCCCTTCATCCTGCGTGCACGGGTTGCCGTGCGGGGGATTCTGCTGTCGATGGGGTTGCTCCTTGAAGCCACAGACGGAAGGCTATAGAGGCCTAGGATTGCAGTTATCCAGGGTTTAGGGTCTTTCAATTCAGGGTATGTGAGTAGAGGGATCAAGTGGACGAGGCGCCATGTGGCCATTGCATGAAGTCGCAGGGGCCATTTGCCAACCGGCATGGCCAAATGCGAGATAGGGCGGTTGAGGCGAGATGAAATGTGTGCAAAAGTGCGACGTGTGTGGATTGCATCTTCCCTAAACCCTAAACCTAAACCCTAAACCCTAAACCCTAAGCCCTGATTGTTTTGCAGGAAAGAGCAGGAGGACGGTGGGGTGGAAGAGCGCCTGCCTTTTTGGCGCTTCGTTTGCCCGTGGGTTTAGGGTTTATAAGGTTTAGGGTTTGGGAAGCAAACAGGCAACATCATAGCAAAATTGTCCAAATACATAAGCTCCCGTCATTTCTGTTCGGCCAGTTGGGCGGCCGTCCGCCCGCCTCTCCCCGGTTTGCGCCTAAGTGCGACGCAAGACTGACTAGAGCCGCTTTCCAGCAGGGAGTCGCTGTTGCTCGTTGAGAATGGACAATGCTGGTAACTTTGAATGAGTTGGTTGCTTGCAACATCGAATTTTTGGCTCGCAGTACACTTCCACAAAAGTGGTGACGTGTTAGATGTTTGTACTCGCTCGACAAATCGATGCAGCAAACCAGAATCACTGATTGCAGCTACTGGTGCTACTAGAAGACCGAGGACTACTGTCTACCTTCTGTTTAGGGGGGCTGCTTTTAGGTCTAGGGCGTGACTGTTAGAACTGCCACATAGGTCATAGCACGCCAGGGGGCAGAGCAAATCCGTTTCTTGGCAAGCATGGGTTTAGGGTTTAGGGTTTAAGGTTTAAGGCAAGCATGTCCACCGATGCCGATGTGTCAATTCTCACGGAGCTCCATGTCCAAATGCAGGCTGGTTTCTGCCTCGTAGCTGGCGTACCCAGAGGTTGTTCTACATTACTACTATTTGTTTACGAACATAATCCCTATACTACCCTTTGTAAGGAAGAGTAGTTGATTTTGTTGGTTTGTTTCAGCGAATATAGTCGCTTCCGGACCCTTCTCGTACCCTAAACCCTAAACTACGTAGCAGGAACATACCAGAGTACTTTGTCACAGTTGGGTAAGATTTTTTTGATTTTTCACCATGAACCAGAGTACAGTAAACCCCAGAAAGTTGGAAGCCGTGTTAAGGACAAATAGTGCTGGGATTCCCTATACTTTACTCTTAGGGATTGAGGCTATTGAGTTTCCAACTTTTTGGCTTCTACTGTAGAGGCCCCCACGAGGGGCATAGTTCAGCGCATCCCACACGGCGCTATTTCCCTAAACCCCAAAGCCACAAAAAAAGGGACCATCATTTAGGGGCGTCCCTACATGGGGATCTCTACTCATGGTCCTCTCGGGGTCGGTACAAGGCCCGGGAATATAACAGGCACCCCTAACAAAGGACCATAAAGGACCGAATTCCTAAACCCTAAACCCTAAACCCTAAACCCTAAACCCTAAACCCTGAACCCTAAACCCTAAACCCTAAACCCTAAACCCTGCAGGGTCGGGGCGGGGGGGGATGGGATGGAGGAGGGGGGTGCTCAAGGTCGCAAGTCCAGGGAACCCCCAAAAAGGGGGAACTACGTTCTAGCGAACCCCCCGCATGGTCTTTTGCCACTTTGGCCAGCCTGAAGCTGAATGGGCGAAGCGACAGGCGTTCAATGATGTGGTGTGTCACGGTGTGCTGCACCGGGAAGCTAAGCAGAAGGGACATAAACCGAAGATCCCTTGAAAGCTGCAGCAAGGCAACAAGGAAGAGTGCAGCCACGGTAGGTTCTCTAGCTTTCACATTGGAGTTTCCCAAAATACAGGTACCCCACTAGTCTACCCCTAAACCCCAAAATGCTATAACCCTTAGTAGAGGAACCCCCAAGAAGGGTACCCCCATTTTCGGAAACCCCAACGTATGGGCCTTTGCTTTAGAAGCCCCTTGCTTTCAGGGTTTAGGGTTTAGGGTTTGGGGTTTAGGGTTTAGGGTTTAGGGTTTAGGTTTAGGGTTTGGGTGAATGTTCTGCCATGGCCGTCGACTCTCCACCTCCCTGATCCGTCCGAGCTTCGCAGCCGCCAGAGGCTTGGTATCAAGGGGCTGAAGGAGGGACGCTTACAAGGGACCTTAGGGTTTTGGGTTTAGGGTTTAGGGTTTAGGGTTTAGGGTTTAGGGGTTACTTAGGGGCTATTTGGGGAAGAAGATTAAGGGTCCCTTCTGGGGGTCCCTCCTTTTGCCCCTTCATGGTCCAGTTGCCGATATCGGCTCTTCCGTTCCGCGTTTGCGCCAATTGCGTCAGGCTGTCCTACATCCCATCCCAAGGCCCTAACCCTAAACCTTAGAAATGCCTAAAGGGCCCCCAAAATGCCCCGGTAGCCGTTCAGAAGCCCTAAACCCTAAAACCTAAACCCGAAACCCCAAAACCCTAAGCCTAATAAAGGTGCTGGGTCTGTCCTCCCACGTGCTGACCAGACGAAGCAAGCTTGCAACCTGCGACTCCAGTGTCCACCAGAAGAAAGGCCATGGGATGGCAGTGTCTTTGGGGGTTTCGGGTTTTAGGGGTGTTAGGGTTGTCGGGTTCAGGGCTTTCGGGTTTTAGGGTTTTAGGGTTTGGAGTTTAGGGTTTCAGGGTGTAGGGTTCCAGGGTATATTCGTTCGCTCCGTTCATTCATCTCATACTGAATTTCGCACGTCTTTCATTCCTTGTAAATTCGACATTGAATTCTCTCACTTCTACCGTGAGCCCCTTGAGGTCTTATTGCAATTGGCTCACGGACGTGCCATTCATCTCTCCCTCCCTCTCTCTCTCTCCCTTTCTCTCTCTCTCTCTCTCTCTCTCTCTTTCTTTTTGTTCACCCATCCCACCTTGATACCTTGTTAACGCCTGGTCTGGCTAAGACTCAGACTCGTCTTTTCACTCGCGACAATATATTATGAGAAGCGCACGAAGTACGCGCGTGAATGATATTGTTGTTGCGCGTTAAAAGACTGAGTGTGCGACCGCTAATCTTGCTAAAGCCGCAGCTTTTCCGCCCGTGTTCACCGTTCGTTCTCAGGGAATAACCACTCACACGTTCAGACCCTTGAAAAGCGCAGGCCAGGTTAACCCTGTAGAAGCCCTAAACCCTAAACCCTAAACCCTAAACCCTAAACCCTAAACCCTAAACCCCAATAAAATGTACTAAACTTGGCTCGGCTGGCAGATGGGAGTGCCAGCGGTCCGGCTCGGCGCGTCATCATTGACACCGATCCAGGCTCGAGGGGTTTAGGGTTTAGGGTTTAGGCTTTAGGCTTTAGGGTTTAGGGTTTAGGGTTCCGAGGGAATTGTGGAGGGAAGCTTCTTGCTTCACCTTTGGTCTCCCCGTTTAGGGCTCATAGCTTCCCACTCCCAGGGCAATACATCTTTCACCACCTCAGACACGTGTGCTGGCGGAAGCCTACAGACGTGGCTGTCATCATGAGCTGGCGGCTGATGAGTTACCGATGAAGGAACGAGCATGTAGGAACCCCATGACAGGTACAGGGTTTAGGGCTTAGGGCTTCGGCTTAGGGTTTAGGGTTTAGGGTTTAGGGTTTAGGTACATGGCTGAGTGAATATTAGGAAGCTGCGCACAGGCTTGCTTAAGGCTCCGCAGGCTTCCTAAAATGGGGTCCGCACATCTGGAGTCCCCTTGATCACCCCTTACTCGGTGAGCGAGCGCCTACTGTTTGCTAAAAGCCCTCCCCCAAAAAACTAAAAATCCCTATATCACCCTCCCTATATTACCCCTATCTTTATTTACTATATATCTTTTTTTTTGGGGGGGGGGGGGGGGTTCTTATGAGCAATTCGTAGTAGCCTGTTCCTTTGCTTCCTTGCAACTGCCTGTACCCTCGGTCAGAATGACAAATGAAGGACAGTTGGGATGGATGCCATGGAGTCTGATACCCTAAACCCTAAAACCCCAACCCTCAACCCCAAATCCTGAACCCTAAACTCTATTAGTGACGTTAGTATTTTGTAGACCCTAAACCCTCGAAACCACTCAGAACCCCCCAGCAACTCCACCCAGAAAAATCGCAACAAAAAGCGCAAAACGCGCCGTGTGTAGGTAACACGGGAAGGCGATGAAACGTGTGTCGATTCTACCACGCAGGCCACGCATTTCGTGACGTTGCACAAGACACACACGCGAAAACCATTCACCAAAAGGGGCACCCCTTTTGGTAGTTGAAAGCGCTGAAATCGGAACGTGTGACAGCACACAGAATAAACAGCGGACATGTTGAAAATGTCTCGAAAGCCTCACGCAGGCCAATGTTTTCAGCATGCACCGTGAACAAGGAGGAACAGCAGCAGGGGAGAAGACGCTGCTTTGACCCGAAAAACCATCCCGCAACCGAACCCGCCAGGGGGTTTAGGGTTTACCCAAAGGCTCCTATGCAGTCCCTTTTTGGCGTAGTATACTAGAATCCCTCATGACTTACCCACAAAGGAACTACATTGAACCCTTCAGGTAGGGTTTAGGGTTAACCCGCCAGGGGGTTTAGGGTTCAGGGTTTAGGGCTTAGGGTTTAGGCCCGTTTGTTTGCGGTGCAGGTGTGGACGATGCTCTGGCAATTCTCTTGGCCTCGGGATCTCCCCAGCTGAAGCTGGAAGGATTGTCCATCGCCTTCGGGAATGGCAAGGAGCACTTGACGTCCGAAAGCTGCTTTAGGGTTTAGGGTTTAGGGTCTAGCCGGGGCGCCATATCACCACTCCAAGTTACGGTCCACTGTGTTCAGTCGCTTGTATACCGCGACCCCGTATTTCCATTTGTTTGGGGTTAACCCCTTGAAGCAAAAAATGGCACGTCTTTAATCTCAGAAAGGAAAGTTTAGAGAACTGTTAGTGATGGTGCAAGATCGCCTGTGAGGACATCGCAGCCCTGGGCCCCTTGGATGCCGCTGCTAGAAACCTTCCTCGATCTTGGCTGTTCTTTTACAGTAGGGAATTCCGGGGGGGGGGGGGGGGGGAGGACCCTAGAATTCCTTCAAGGGCGTCTCATTCAGACAGCTGGCGCACGGATGATTGTCGCGTGTCTGCGAGGCTCGAACGCCAAGTTGATTCTTCGCTTGGCTGGCTTGGCGACGACCCCTGTCTCTCTCGGAGCAACTCGGACCCAAACAAACTTTAGCAATAGGTCTTGGAGTAGTCTAGGGTCCGGGTTCATTTTATTCATGAGCCTCGATGGTTAGCATCATCCACGTAAAGCCCCGATCAAAAAATCAGAAGATGCATAAGAGTACGAGTATGGATCATTCAGCAAACCCTAAACCCTAAAGCCTAAACCCACTGAACTAAGCCCTCCAGAACAGCCCCCAAAGGCAGAGCCAACAACCTGCACCGACGATGAAGTAGGCAAGCCTTTTTTTGAGTCGATCAGATGTCCAAAGGACTCCAGGTAAAAGGTGGGATTCGGGATGTTCCCCTTATACTAGCAGTCCTTCATAGGCATCATTGTAATGATAGTACCACCCTATTATAATCCCTATGAAGGACTGTTATGATGAGGGGGAACATTTCAAGGTGGGCTTAGGGCGTTTCAGGCGTTTCGGGCTTTAGGGCGTTTGGGTGTTTAGGGTTGACCGGCAATGGGGGTTAAGGCCTCGAAAGCCTGTCGGTGTCAGGATGGCAAGCGGATGTCATCGGCATGAACCGATACGTCTTTCCAGTTCAGGTTAGAATATACATGTACATACACATATATATATATATGTATATATATATATACATATATATACATATATATACATATATATATACATATATATATATATATACATACATATATATATATATGGTCACTTCTCCAAGATGTGGTCCCTTCTGGGTCCTTTTTACAAGGCGGCCCCTCTGATTAAGGATACCCCAAACGGAACCCTAATGTAGAGAACTGACATATATACGTAAACATGTTTTGTGTGTGGGCTCTGATGGGATGGCATTGGTGCTTTTTTGGGGCGCCTGTATTCGCTCACGCCATGAGGGGGTTTGTGAGTTTGTTAGGGCAAGCTTGTTCCAAGGAGCCTTTGCATAAGAGCTCTTCTTCGATGAGTACCCCTAAACCCTAAACCCCAAACCCCAAACCCTAAACCCTAAACCCTAAACCCTAAGCCTAAACCCTAAAAAGCCCTAAACCCTAAACCCTAAAAAAGGGATCCGGGGAGGTCAAAACCTAGTTGTGCGCATCCTGCAGATCCCCCATGCCCGGGCGCCTTGACATGGGAGGCGCCGTGGTTCAACGCGAGGGCATGGCGAAGACCCTGGTGCACGGGGAGGATCACATGGGCAACGTGAGCTCCTTTGCGGCAGATGGTTTAGGGTTTAGGGTTGAGGGTTTAGGGTTTCGGGGTTAGGGTTTAGGGTTCACATGGGCGACGTGAGCTCCTTTGCCGCAAACATGGGGATTATGATGCCCTATAACCCCTTAAAAGGGGGCCCTTTGTTAGGGTTGATTATGGGGGTTATTCTACCACCTTCACCTCTCAAAAAGGCCCTTATAACAGGGTTGATTCTGGGGATTATAGGGCCTTATGGCCCGTCCTGGTGGTCATGTGGCGGGCCATGGTAGGGGAATCGCTGCACGATCTTCGTTTCTTTTTGCGAAGGTTCAGGAGTATAGTTGCGACATGCGCTGCACCAGTCTCTGGATGCATTTCTAGATTCCAGCCACTTCTGCGTCGGGTAACTGCCACTTCCCACGGCGAAGGTGCCCAGTATGGCAAGGATGCCTCAGACAGGACCGGATTTCACGAGCTGGCCGCCCCGGAGTTCATCTACCAGCTGTGCAAACGCCGCCCGGACTTGCACGGGACGTCTTTTCTTAGGGTTTAGGGTTTAGGGTTTAGGGTTGTCCCATATAGTGCTCACCCCAAACCCTGCTCAAAGCCTTATCCCTAAATCCCATGAAGCCCTACACTGCCCTACACACCCTAAACACACTCTAAACCCTCAACACCCTAGAAGCCTTAGAAGGCCTACGAGGACCATAAACCCTATAAGCCCCCCAGGTCGAGCCCCACACAGAACCATTGAGCCTTACAACTCCGGGTTCAGGGTTTAGGGTTTAGGCTTTGGGTTTAGGGTTTAGGGTTTAGGGTTTAGGGTTTAGGGTTTAGGGTTTAGGGTTTAGGGTTTAGGGTTTAGGGTTTAGGGTTTAGGGTTTAGGGTAACCCGAAAGCCGCCAACTCTGAGCCAGGTCATCCGCGTGAAATCACGCTGGTCTGCATCTCGGCAGCCCACTGGTAGCCTTTTGCCTGTTGCCCCTTCTGGGGTTCCTTAAGTACATCTAAAACCCAAACCCCCACACCCTAAACCTTCAAACCCCTGAACCCGACCAAAACCCAAAACCCTAAACCCTAAACCCTAAACCCTCAAACCCCTAAACCCGACCAAAGCCCTAAACCCGAACCCTAAACCCTAAACCCTAAACCCTAAACCCTAAAACCTACCTCAAGGCATTGGCCCACTCCACAACCTGGCCTCAGCCTTGCACGCGCACCCGGACCTTCCCGAGCTCCTCCGCGTCTTGCCCGCGGACAGCCGGGTTGAGGGGTTTTGGGTTTTGGGTTTGGGGTTTGGGGTTTAGGGTTTAGGGTTTGGGGTTTAGGGTCTGGGGTCTAGGGTTTGGGATTTAGGGTTTGAAGTGGGTTAGGATTTGGGGGTTGGGGTTCCGCTAGGTTAGGGTTTGGGGCTGAGGGTTTACCTGGGTGAGGGGGTTTGGGTGCAATGGGTTGAGGGGTTAGGGTGTTTAGTATATGGTTCGGTTTTTATTGTTTCGGGTGTGCAGGGTTCAGGGCGTTTAGGGCTTAAGGTGTATGCCAGGCACGAGGGCTTGTGATGCTTATGCAAGGTTGGGGTTCGGGCATGTGCAACCCCTAAACCCTCAACCCTTAACCCTGAAACACCCTCAACCCTGAACCCTCAACCCTGAAACCCTCAACCCTGACACCCTCAACCCTCAACCCTGAAACCCTCAGCCCTCAACCCTGAAACCCTCAACCCTACCCTCCTCTCCCCTTCCAGGTGAGGTTGTGATCATGGGCGGGGCCTTCGGCGAGCGCCGTGGCAACCGGACGCCTTCTGCTGAAGCCAACTTCTTCGACGACCCGGAAGCTGCTCAGGCGAAGGGTTTAGGGGTTTATTTAGGTGAGGGACTGGTGCTCTAGCTGCCTTCGGGTTGTTTTGAGTCTGCGTTCCCTTCATTGTAACGCTCCTCTAGCCTAGCGCTCCAGTCTTGATTCTGGAGGGTTCTTGCGGTAATTGTAAACGCTTGCGCGCGCCGCCTCGGCAGCCGGGCCGGCCCCAGGACAGGAAAGGAGGAAAGAGGGTTTCTGCAAGAAATGGGGACGGGGGGGCTGGTTGGGGAGGGGGGGCCGGGTTTTGAGGGGCTCCACGGCGTCGGTTTGACGCTCCTCCAAGCGATGGGGGGGGTCCCACAGGGCGGTGGGGCGGGTCGGCCACAAACTTTTGTATGGGAGAAGGGTTGGGTGGAAAGGAGGCCCGATCCGGGTCTGCTTGCTCCAAACGCTTCTCGGCAGGAAGCCGAGGCAAATCGACCTAAGAGAGGGCAGCTCTTGGGAGCCCCATGCTGTGCCCGAACGTTCAGGGTTTAGGGTCCAGAAAATCTCCAAAACCTTGCATAAAGTCGCAGGTGAACCAGGTGAGCTTGCCCCAGTTGACCCCTCGGGACCCCTTCTAAGTGCCTTGTGCCCGACATGCCCTCCACATGCCCCCCCAAACAGAGTCTGGATCGTGACGCCTTCCTTGCCTGAGGGAGAGTTCCATGAACTAGGGAAGCCTCTTGCCCCACCTGCTCCTTTGCCCAACTGTTTCTTCAATGTTACAGAGACTTGCATACGGGGAGGGGGGCGTGGGTTGGGTGCAAGTGGGGCATAGCTCTGCGGGCTGGAAAAAACTTGAACCCTGTGCACCCATACGTCCTGAATCCTGAAATAGGCGGTGCTGACCGCCGGCTTCGAGCACCTTGTCTTAGCAGGCCTGGTGGCACAGCATCCGCTCTCGTCACAACAAGGGCCTTCTGATGTGCGAGGGGATTTTGGGCTTTACAGGGTGTTCATTGGGCTCTGAACGAGGGACCTGCAGGGCTTGACAGCGGTTTTTTAGGGCTGTCAGGGTCTTACTTCCAAGGGTCCAGGTACTCATCTAGTATTCAAAAGCCCAAGTAAGCAGCACATGGCCTTGTATAGGGTGTGGTTTGATCCCATCAGGCTTGGACATCACGCACCAAACCGACATGCTGGTCTTGCGGAAGGCGTGCGTGGAATCGGGCTCCGCCTTGTCTCAGCTTCTTGGTTGCTGGTAAGGAGCTGACAGTTCTTCGAGGGCAAGATGTAGAATGGTATGCCTTGGGATGTTCCCCCCTATACTAACCGTCCTATTAGTGGGGATGATTACGGGCTGTTAGTATAAGGGGGACATCCCAAAGTAATGCCCATATTAACCCTAAACCACAAACCCTAAACCGTAAACCCTAAACCCTAAACCCTAACCCCTAAACCCATATTCTGGTACAGTTCGTTAAAAAGAGCTCAGCAGACTGCAGCCCAGGTTCGTTTGGGATCTGTGCGAGAACTTCATCAACGTCTATCACGAAGCTCTGCGCGAGATTGGCTGGTTCTTCGTAGTGAATCAGGGAATGAGGTACTAGCCTACATAATCCCTTAATATATAGGTACCCTATATAATCCCTTAATACATAATCCCTTAATATATAGGTACCCTATAGAATCCCTTAATTCCCAGAATTCCCGACTAAGAGCCAGGTGGAGTCACTTCCGGGGTTTCAGGGGTTTTAGGGGGTTTAGGGTTTAGGGTTTAGGGTTTAGGGGTTCTGTGCTGGAAAGAGCTCGTTGGGATGCCTGCACCCCAAACCCTGCACCCTCCCAAACTCTGAACCCTGAACCCGAAATCCACAACCCTAAACCCTAAACCGTGAACCCTAAACCCTAAACCCTAAACCCTAAACCCTAAACCCTAAACCCTAAACCCTAAACCCTAAACCCTAAACCCTAAACCCTAAACCCTAAACCCTAAACCCTAAACCCTAAACCCTAAACCCTAAACCCTAAACCCTAGCCCTGAACCCTAAACCCTGGTACTCGCAAGACAAGACCCAAGACCCTTGGACCCTCGTCCACGTCCTCTATGGGCGACCTACATAGAAACCCTCAACTCGTAAAGTCCGTAATATGATATGGATTGAAAAGGTACCCCAAAAGAATCCCCAACAACCCAGCCCCCAAGCATGCTCAGATCTATAGCTTGAGAGAGATGTTGTGTCTCGGAACCCCAACCCAATCCCCCAAAGCCTTAAACCAAGGGCCCTCAAGACAAGGTACCGCAATGGTGGCGTTTGGGGACTCTGGGGGGTTTAGGGTTTAGGGTTTAGGGCTTAGGGCTACGGGCTTAGGGTTAGGGAGAGAAGTCCGGGCCCCTGGTAGCTCAGGACTGGGGTGAGACGCTTGCACCGGCGCACGACACCATTCCCATCATGTGAGCTGGCGCCAGCATCCCTAAACCCTAAACTCTAAACCCCAAACCCTAAACCCTAAACCCCAACCCTAAACCCTAAACCCTTTTCCAGCTTAGAGCCAGCACCTCTCTTCTCTGCAGTTCAGGGCTTCGGGGAGTGTACAGGGTACTTCATTCCCTTATTCCCTGCTAAGAACCGGCCAGTCCCTTAAACGGCTATTTAAGGGGGGATATAGATGTGAGATATGTTGTATAGAAAATTCATTTCGAATAAGCGCGTACTTATTTGTTTATTATTTGTATTCTTACATCCGATTTCGATTCAGGTGTTTATATCTCAGGCACCTGACACCCTGAACCCTCTTTCTTTGACTTACTGTTGGCTAGCAGAAAATGAGGGAATTAGGGCCCTATATTTACCCCTTAAGGGATCGTATAGGGCACCTCATTCTCTCATTCCCTAAGAAGAACCAGCCAGTCCCTTAAGGGGCTTTTTAGGAGATATAGATGTGAAATATGGTTTATAGAAAATATAGAACATATGCGTACTTAAATCGTTTATAGTGTTTATATCTCAGGCACTTGACACCCTGAACCCATTTGAGGTACCTGCTGCGGCCGGACCTCTTCGAGGGTCAGCGGGTGAGGGTCGAAGTGGAAACAAAGGGCGACATCACGCGCGGGATGTCGATTGCGGACTGGAAAGGCCAGTGGCAGAAGCCCAAGAACTGCACCGTGCTGCGTCGGATGCTCGGGGGGAGTTAGGGTTTAGGGTTTTGGGTTTGGGGTTTGGGGTTTGGGGTTTAGGGTTTAGGGTTTAGGGTTTAGGGCCGTGACTCAGACACAGGGCTCGGTGGGTGCTGGTGGTGCTGACGCCTGCAGTCAGCCTCTAGATAGACAACCCCAAGCCCTGTAACACAGGGGCCTGCTCACGTCGAATTTGTGCTTGATTTGTATTGTTCAACTTAAGCAATTATGAGACGACAATGGTCTTGGCGTTTATATGCCTCGCTTCCTGCAAATTCGCTTAGGACCTTATTTGACTCGAGAGCTTGGGATGCTCCCCCATATACTAACAGTCCAAAACAGGGTATTCCAGAAACCCCCTGTGGTCGTCCCTATTAAGGACTGTTAGTATAAGGCGGACATCCCAAAATGTAGGGGAATAATTGCTAGTAGTTTTCCCTTATGGCCCCCTTCTAATACCTATACCATTAGTACAGGGGGGGGGGAATAATTACTAGTAGTATTCCTTATTGGCCCCCTTATAACTACACTATTCGTACAAGGGGGAACCCTAAACCCTAAACCCTAAATCCTAAATCCTAAACCCCTAAACCCTAAACTCTTTGGAGCCAAGGATCACCGACGGCGACGAGTTCTGCAGAGAGTTCGTTCGGGCGATCTCTCGTTTACCGGTCTCCCGCAGCCGATCCAGCTGAAGACGACTAGGTTTCGTTCGTTTTTTTGTGTTAACGGTTTGCTTTTGCAGGGTTTAGGGTTTGGGGTTTAGGGTTTAGGGCTTAGTTAGGTCTCTATTGCTTTAGGGCTTGGCTTTTAGTGCCCCTGAACTAAACCCTAAACTGGCCCTAAACCCTAAACCCCAACCGCAGCTACAGAAGCTCTTGCTGCATGGTTTTTAGGGTTTTCAGGGTTTTTGGGGTTTACAGGGTTTTTAGGGTTGGGGCTTAGGGTTTACGGTTTAGGGTTTCGGGCTAGGGTTTAGGCTAGCCAGACTCCTACGGCCCGAGGGGCCTCTTGGTGAGAGACCGTGGCTCTTGAAGAAAAGCGCGGCTGTTGCGGTCGTCCTGTGCCTGCGTGTCGCGCCTCTGCATCGGGCATGCCGAAAAACCCTAAACCCTAAACCCTAAACCCTAAACCCTAAACCCTAAACCCTAAACCCTGGCCCTTTATCTTCTTCGAGCCCTACACTTGGAGAGCCTACGGCTTCAATGAAAGCCAAACCACAAGCCCTTATAAGCCCTAAAACACCCGAAGGAACCTGAAATACCCTACTCAAAGCAACAACTTGCTAGTTCTTAGGTAGGGAATCAGGGAATCAGCTACTTTGTATATCCCCCTATAGATCACCCTGAACCCTAAACCCTAAACCCTATACATTACCCATTCAGGGGATGTAGGCACTATAAGCACCATGAGACAAAAGACCGTCAACTCCGCAACCCCCCCAAGCTCTCCTTGGCGTGCTCTGCAACTGGGCTTAGGGTTTAGGGTTCATGGTTTAGGGTTAAAAACCTAAAACCCAAAACCCAAAACCCCTCAAAGACCCCAACGCCCTAACCCCTATAATCCTAAACCCCAGAACCCTAAAACCCTAAAACCCCAAACCCTAAGCCCTAAGCCCTAAACCCTAAACCCTAACCCTAAACCCTAAACCCTAAACCCCAAACCCTAAACCCCAAACCCTAAACCCTAAACCCCAAACCCTAAACCCTAAACCCTAAACCCTGAACCCCAAACCCTAAACCCTAAACCCTAAACCCTAAACCCTAAACTCTAAACCCTAAACCCTAAACCCTAAACCCTAAACCGCCAGGACTTTGCGGTGCGGCTGTCGGCCGCGCTTCGGCAGCTCGCCGAGGCCCCTGCGGCCGCCAAGGCGCACTGGCCCTTTTGGGAGCTTCATGCGACAGGGTTTAGGGTTTAGGGTTTAGGGTTTAGGGTTTGGGGTTTGGGGTTTAGGGTTTAGGGTTTGGGGTTTAGGGTTTAGGGCTTAGGGTTTAGGGTTTAGGGTTTGTGGTTTAGCTAGGGTTTGGGGTTTCGGGTTCAGGGTTTAGGGTTTAGGGTTTCATTAGGTTGAAGAATGATCCAAAGACTTGCCGGTAGGGACTTGAGGTAGCATGCTGGCCAAGTGTGGCATGATGATTGGTTTAGGGTTTAGGGTTTAGGGTTTGGGGTCTGGGGTTTGGGGTTTAGCGTTTGGGGTTAGGGTTCTTTGTGGTACTTTGCTATAACTTTAGATCTTTAGCCTTTTTGGGTTTTTTGGTCTTCTTAATCAGGCAGCTAAAAGAATTAATTTATAGCTACCCTCCTAAGTGCAGCCAAGGGTTTGGCTAGGGTTTCGGGTTCAGGGTTTAGGGTTTAGGGTTTCATCAGATTGAAGAAAGATCCAAAAACTTGGTAGCCCAGTGGTACCTTTTTCCCTTTTCGTTGTTTCAGGGTTCACCTATAAAGGAATCAACCCCAAAGAAGGGTGCCCTTGTTATGATATGGTTACTGGGCTACCAGGCTAATCATCATGCCCTAAACCCTAAACCCCAAACCCGAAACCCTAAACCCTAAGCCCTAAGCCCTAAATCAAACCAATCATCATGCCACACTTGGCCAGCATACTACCCCAAGTCCCTACCGGCCTTGCCAGACGGTGCGCAACTGTACCTAAACCCTAAACCCTAAACCCTAAATCCTACACCCAGTGGCCCAGAGCCAGGAAGACAAACGATCGTGCGTCACTTTCGGTGCATTTGTGATTCAGGTGGTTCCCTAGATTAGGGTACCGTTGTGGGTACTCATTATCTACTATTTGCTGAAGAACCCCCCCCGCCCCCCCACCCTCCCCCCCCCCCCCCCCCCAAAAAAAAAAAAAAAACGAAATAGTCTTCCTTATAAGGGTAATGCAGGGATGGTTGTTTTCTGCCTGTTTGGGGGCTCTTAAGCAACTAGCAGTTACGGTGTCACGATTTGAACCGTCACATGCAATTTTTCGGGGCTCTCAGGATGTCTTCTCGAGATATTCCCGCGTGCTGAAAGGAGGGCGAGCCCACCGTGCGGAAGCACGCGCAAGGCCGGTATCCCTAAGCCCTAAACCCTAAACCCCAAACCCTAAACCCTAGACCCTAGACCCTAAACACCGAACGACGTCAGCTTTGTGTCGCATGGAGAAGACCACAGGTCGGTCTCTGGTCTCGTCGCCTAGACTTGTAGACACTTCCTCACCATAGCCATAGCCAGGAAGGGCATCACTGCATCACAGAATTCCCCATGTTGTTCTTGGGCCATGCCTGGTATTGTCCCATGTATGTTGTGTTTGTTGTACATCATATTACATAGAGGTATAGTGTGCATTGTATATAGAGTTGGGCATATAACTACATTTTTATGTATTCTGTATGTACATATACATATACAGATTATAGATAGATAGATAGATAGATGTTATACGATAGCTCATAATGTATATGTTGTACTAGTGTTTATATTTTATATTCTATGCAAATTTTATGTTGTATGCTAGGTGCTATAAATACTATAGATTCTATATTGTACTCTTTATATCATAATTAATACATTATTATCATTGTTATTATCATTATTATTATTATTAGTACTATGAGAATTAATATTCTTGTAATCATTATTATAGATGCTATTGTAAATTGCACATAGTTTCTTTTATATCATGTATTATACATGAAATAATATAACATAATATAATATAATACAATACAATATGTCATCATATAATATAATATTGTGTAATATATAATAATATTATGATATATTAGTAGAACAATATAAGAATATAATCATAAATAAGATAATAATATAATATATATAGTATAATAACATAATAATATAATAATACAATAATATAATAATAATAATATAATAATATAAAATATAATAATATAATAATATAATAAATATAATAACATAATAACATAATAATATAATAATATAATAGTATAATAATATAATAATATAATAATATAATAATAATAATTTATATACGTACGTATATATATATATATATATATTCAAATTACAGTGTATATGACATATGACAGTATATGCTATCTCTAGCAAAATAGAAATATGTGTGTACATATATATATATATATATATATATATATGCTACATTATAAATTACACATTACAGATTGTAAATTATACATACATGATGTGTGTGTGTATATGTATACATGTATACATATATATATATATATATGTATAGTTAGTTTTTTGTCAGGCCTGCACGAATCTTGCCGCCGCTTTCAGCTGCTGGCCCGGAGTGTGCCAGACGAGGCCTTTGCTTGAGGGAGGTTGCGGAGGCATTTGGGGGGTCAAAAGCTTGGGGGCGTTCGGGATTTAGGGTTTAGGGTTTAGGGTTTAGGGTTTAGGGTTTAGATTTAGGGTTTAGGGTTTAGGGTTTAGGGTTTAGGGTTCCGTGCCTCAGGTCGGCAGGTGGAAGGACGAGGACTTGATTTCGGCCGTCCAGGATCTGCAGAAGCAGGCCCAATGGGTGTGGGAGCGTCAACCCTAAACCCTAAACCCTAAACCCTGAACCCTGAACCCTAAACCCTAAACCCTAAACCCTAAACCCTAAACCCTGCAGCCAGGATTCGCAGCTGACGGAAGAGCTGCAGCGAGTTGCCAGCGAGGCGGAGCAGCTACGAAAGGAGTCAGAGCCGCTCGGACAAGCGTGGGGTGACAGAGTTCTCCTAAACAGCCACCCTAAGCCCACCCCAAACCCTAAATCCTAAACCTTAAACCCTAAACCCGAAAAAAACCCTGAACCCTAAACACCAAAGCCACCCTAAGCCCCCCAAAAAAGCCCTAAGCCAACCTAAGCCCCAAAGCCCTAAACCATCCTAGGCCCTGCGAACCAAAAACCCCTTGAAGCCCAGAAGCCTGAAACCCTCCATCGGGTCCGAGGCGGGCAGTCTGGAGCTTCTCCAGCAGGCGCTGCCGTGCCGTTGGTGAGGGGGATTTTAGGGTTTAGGGTTTAGGGTTTAGGGCACCTGAACCCTGAAACCCTAAGAGCCCTCCGGGCTGTCGGGAGGCTGATCGGAGCGGAGGACGACCTCTCGGAGGAGGCGCAGGAGGACGCGATCGAGACAAGGCCGGCGTGGCTCCTTGGGACCCTGGAAGGTCTAGAAGCCCTAAATTTTACGGGTTTAGGGTTTTGGGGGTGTTTTCACACTAAACCCTAAGCCCTATGGGGTTAGGGTTTTGGGGGGGGGTTTTAGGGTTTTGAGAATTTAGGGTTTAGTACTTTCGGGTTTTGGGAGGGGGGGGTGGGAGGGGGATGAAGGTATATGGACCATCAGCCCCTTTAGCTACTCGGCTCGCTGTAGGGACTAGGGGAATTAGGTAGCTTATGTCCCTCCAATGAAACCTCGCAAATGATTTCCTACGTTACCTCCCGAATGCCCTACTAGAACCAGTAAGTGTAGGCTTCATTTCGTCCCCATGACCCTACACCCTAAACCATAAACCCTTGGGCATCCCTCCTTTGGTTCAATTGCTGCTGCACAGGCCAAAGACGCCTTCCGCCAGTTCCTTGCGCCCGAAGCTCCAGGACCTTGCACAAGACAGGCCCGAATACTTCATCTGGGCCCTCAGTTGCAGTTCGTTTTTTTGTGGTGCCTGATTACTGTTCTTAGTATACTTACACCAGCCATGAAATATCACGAATTAGGTATCCTCAAAATGGAACTGCAACTAAAAGGGTCCAGGTAGGAGCTTGCAGCTCTGAAAGGTGCATAGCTGACATTGTTTTGCGAGAGCTGCGCAGATGGGGGCAGCGGACATGTGAGGTAGTTTCCTAGCTTGATGGGTCCCTTTTTGGAGTCCCTGCTTGAGGGTGCGGCCTTATGATGGGTACCCAGAATGGGAGCATGACTTGGGACAGTGCCCATGTCTCGAACGGACGTAACGTTCAGCTATTGCTCCTTGTCAAGCATCGCGGGAGGTCGCGCCGTTTCGCTGAAGAGCTGGAGTTTGTCCAGTGCCTGGCAAATCCCAGCTATGTGTCTGCCTGGCGAGTTCGTGGATCATTTCTCTGAACTTGACCCTCAACCCTAAACCCTAGACCCTAGACCCTAAACCCTACTGTAAACCGCTAGCATCGAATGTGAGATCTCGAGATCTCGCATCCCCACCATCTGTCTGGCCTTTTGATCAGGGACCTTCAAAGCCCGACCTTTGAGCTTGCAACCTCCTCTACGATTTGCTTAAGAACCCCCCCCCCCAAAAAAAAAAACAAAAAACAAAAAAATCAAAAGATGCGAATCCCTACATGGCCCTTACAAGGAAGGCTGATTTTTCAAGTGAAGAGGACGTCCTACAAGAGCAACTCCCCCAAAACCTGGGGGTCCCTTTGCCAGGACGTGGCTTGCAGCACAGGGCTTTCTTGGAGACCCTGGCTTTGCGAACTTCCTCGACTACCTGTTCTGGGCTCGGTCGTCCTAGCGGTCTGTTTGGGTTTAGGGTTTAGGGTTTAGGGTTTAGGGTTTAGGGTTTAGGGTTCAGAGTTCAGGGTTCAGGGTTCAGGGTTCAAGATTTGGAGGGGGTCCTTATTGGCAAAGGTGCCGCATCACACAGCAGGAGCCCGAGAATTCTCCACCCGCAGAAGGCCCAGGCTCTCCAATCCTTCCCCCTCAGGGTAGTTACACTTGCCCTGAATATTATTTTCCCTTACCTCCTTTAGGAGGGTCTGAAGTATGGGCCTTGAACTTGTATAGGGTATATAAGGGGCTATATAAGGGGTATCCCCTTTCTAAGGGCCCATATTAAGGGACCATGCAGCTACCGTACCCCTAGTATCCCTAAACCCTCATAAACCCTAAACCCTAAGTCCCCGTTTAAGGGACCATGGAACTACCCTTAGATTCCCAAGCCACGTGCCCGGGGCATCATCCCTCTCTGACCCCCGAAATACCCCCGAAGCATCTTGCCGGATGAGAGCAGATGCCGGTTCAGGGTTGCAGGGTTCAGGGTTTGAGGATTTTCGGGTTTAGGGTTTAGGATTTAGGGTTTAGGGTTTAGGGAGCTGCAGGGCTTCGCCCGGTTGTGTTCCCGAACTTTGCATAGCCTTCGGGGTCAGGAGCTGGGGTTGTTCTGGACTGGTGATAAGCCTTTTTTGTTGGCACCCTAAACCCTACAAACCCTACAACACGCTACAACACCCTACGAGCCCCCCCCCCCCCCCCCCCCAGCAGGTGCTACTGGAGACGGCCGCAGTATGTGCGGTACGCCCGGGCCTCGTTGCTGGGGCCACATGGCAAACGTGGGTTGCAGGGGTTTGGTTTTTTCTGGTTCACAAGTATCCCGAAGCCCTAAAGGGCTTATGGCTGCATAAGCTTTAGGATGTTTTTGTCTTTTCTTTAGTTGTTTTGCATGGGTTGGGAGTTTAGGGTTCTGGGTTTAATTATTGTAGGTCTTGGTTCCAATTTGGCTTTTGTAGGGTCTAGGTTTGGGGGCTTTGGGTGTTGTACCGGTTGGGGGCACGCCCGGTGGCACCCTTCTTCTTCCCTGTTACTTATTTCGGGAGTAGGATCTCGTTTATAACAGAATTGCAGAATCTTTTTGCAACAAACGGCTTAGGTTTAGGCCAAAAAACAACCGCAAAGCATGGTCAGGTTTTGTATGCAACGCCCCCATCTCCCCCAAACAAAATAAAGAAAACGAGAGGGCCTCAGGTTGTTCCGAGCGTAGACTTCGAGAGCTCTGTTGCCACAGTATGCTCCAAAAAGTTGGAACATCCTCATACCCATACTCCAAAAGGTATAGTAAAGGGAATCCCGGCTCTAATCAGCCCTACACCATGTTCCAACTTTCCGGAGTTTCCTGTACTGAGATCACCTACCCAGCATGCCTTGCGATGCTGGATCTGCTGCGCGACCCGGCCGCCGCCCTCTCAGGAAAAACGCTCAAAGCACTTTGTGGTACTTTACTATAACTTTAGATCTTTAGCCTTTTTGGGTTTATTGGGTTTCTTAATAGGGCAGCTAAAAACTTAATTTATAGCTGCCCTCCTAAGTGCAGCCAAGAGCCCAAACCCCTCAACCTTGAACGTTGGCAGTTTCAGGTTGGGATGTTCCCCCTTGTACTAACAGCCCTTTATTAGGGTACCCCCGATGATAATCCCTATTAAGGACCTGTTAGTATCAGAGAGGTAACATCCCAAGTTCCAGGCCTAAAGAAGGCCAATCAACGCTTTTCTTCGAGGTGCGCGGCCGACTGCAGCGAACAGATGCTGAGAGCTTCCTGAGCAGCATGGTAGCCAAGTGGTACCCTTTTCCCTTTTTTTGGTGCAAGGTTCCCTAAACCCTAACCCTAAACCCTAATCCCTAATCCCTAAACCCTAAACCCCCTCATAAAGTAACCCTGGTTCCCTTATAAAGTAACCAACCCCAAAAAAGGGTGCCCTCATTTCAATATGGTTACTGGGCTACCAAGGCAGCAATCTACTACACGCCTGGGGCAGAGTGAAGGAGGCCAGGGGCCCCATCATGCCCATGTCTTGGGATGTTCCCCCTCATGCTCACAGTCCTTCATCGGGATTAGGACAGGGGTACGCTAATCCCTACCAAGGACTCTTAGTATATGCAGCGATTGGTTTCGAGGGGCCCCCAGAATCCCAAAGTGAAGGAAAAAAAGGAAGTTGGGTCCCACTGCCCCGCTGCAGCTCCCCAAGGTGCGCGTGGGTCCGGAAGTTCTTCCGGAGCTTGCCGGTGCTGGCAGCTGCCTCAGCGCGGTGGGGGCGAATGCGCCCAAGAAGGCGCTGATTAGGGTTTAGGATTTAGGGTTTAGGGTTTAGGGTTGGTCCATATGGAGGTTTACGAATCTATGGGACCCCCGAATATAGTCCCCCCAACCAAGCAGGACTCCCTTTCCCTAAGGGCCTCAATAAGGTACCCCTTATTTCGGAAATCCCCAGGTTGCCTAAACACAGGATTTTTGGCAGTATGGTGTACATGATCCCAATGTTAAGGTAAATTCAGTCCCTTTAGAGAGCCAGGTTGGCTTTTGACCCTATGTATATAACCCAAAACCCAAATCCCAAATCCCTAAACCCTATAAGTTCTAAATCCTAAACCCTAAACCCTAAACCCTAAACCCTAAACCCTAAACCCTAAACCCTAAACCCTAAACCCTAAACCCTAAACCCTAAACCCTAAACCCTAAACCCAAACCCTAAACCCTAACCCTAAACCCGAAACTTTTCAACCTGTTTTTAACGGCCCACCCGGGCAGTGCCTGGAGGATGGCGAGTCTGTCCTGCTGTGTAGTGGGACTCTACCTTGGGCCCATGAGGTTGAACCCTTGAGTATGCGGGGAGGCCTTACTAAAGGTTCCTACAAGATTATGAAGGCTTAGGGGCTTAGGGTTCAGGGTTTAGGGTTTAGGGCCCGGTTTAGGGTTTAGGGATATTTGGAGTATGTGGAACGGGAACCTTTAGGGGTACAACCTTAGGGTACGAGTCTTACTCCCTTGACGGCCCAGGCACTGAAGCCGACACGCCCGGGATGGACGAGCCGGCGCCGAAAAGTGAGCCACCTGGGAGGGACCCTAACCCTAAACTCTAAATCCTAAATCCTAAATCCTAAACCCTAAATCCTAAACCCTAAACCCTAAACCCTAAACCCTAAACCTGAACCCTAAACCCCAAACCCTAAACCCCAAACCCCAAACCCTAAACCCCAAACCCTAAACCCCAAACCCTAAACCCTAAACCCCTAACCCTAAACCCTAAACCCCTAACCCTAAACCCCTAACCCTAAACCCCAGATGTCCGGCGCCAGGTCCCACGGCTGATTCCTCCATCACTGCCGGCATCTTCTCAAACGTGGGTGGCACAGGATCCTGAAGCCACGAAACCCTTTTCGGCAGGCAGACCCCAAGCCTTGTAAATACTGACATCATTGTGAATGCTCAGACATATATATATATATATATATATATATTATGTATATTTATATTTATATTTATACTTATTTTTATATTTATATTTGTACTTAAAATTATATTTATATACGCATGATATCCGTAGAAATATTTGAGAGTCTTTAATCTCAGTATAAGTACTATTGACTTTAAATGCATGTTTTGCATTACCATTCGTGAGCCCTACGCCACCACAGAGTGGAACCTCTCTTCGCCTTTGCGTGATAAACCAGGACCTGACAAGGGCAACGCAAAGGCCCGCTCTGCCATACCGGTTGTGCACTTTGCTAGGTTCAGGGTGAGGGATTGAGTAGGGAATGAGGTACCCCATGTCATCCGTTAAAGGGGGTAGGGGGAATGTAAGTTGCCGAAGTCCCTACGAACAAGCTAGTATGGTTTGTGACATGCGGGGGATGTTCCAAGTTCGATGGGTGCTCCTACCGATGAGGATGCGGTGCATTCTGGTCGTACGTTCAACCGTCGCTTGATGGGTCCTCCCTCTTGTAGGTACCTATGCGCAACCATCCCGACATTACTCCTCTTAAGCAGGCCTGGCTCAAGAAGACCTGGGACAGGCGCGCAGATGCGCGGTCCGGAGCCAGGACAGATGGGTTTCCCTATTGCGCCCAGTTCTCGGCAGAGAAGGAGGGAACCAGCGAAGGCCCGAACCTCAACAAAACTTCGGGTCAGAGTTTTAGTTTTACCCGTGACTTGCCCCCTAAACCCTGAACCGTAGAGTTTGCAGGACGATCAGCGAGGAAGCTGAAGCAGCTGCTCGCCCACTGCTGCTGCAGTGCCGCCCTCATGCTTTGACATATGGTTTAGGGTTTAGGGTTTATAGTTTAGGGTTTAGGCTTTAGCCCTATATAAACCCTACTGTAAACCTAAATCCCAAATCTCATTGCCGAACCCCAAAGCCCAGCAATCCGCAAAAATGTCTTGCAACTGAAGGTGCAAAAGGCTCAATAATAGGCCATACACGCCTGACAAACCTTGTATAAGCCCTAAACCTGTTCTGAGGTTCTGCGGGTCCACCGAGAAGATGGCGGGGGACCCTGAGCGTCGGAGCTTTGCAGGGTTCGGAGTTTAGGGTTTAGGGGGTTTGGGGGTTCTTCGGGTTCAGAGTTAAGGGTTTTAGGGGGTAGGGGTTAGGGTGTCGGGTTTTAGGACAGCTTCCTTTTGGCCTCCCGCGGGCGTGGTGAGGTTTTCCGGAGTGACAGGGTTATCGGTAGTCTGGTATTTCCTACAAACCCAAAAACCTGCAAACACCCGAAACCCTAAACCCTACTCCCTAAACCCTAAACCTGATAGTAAAGCCTCTTAGCAACACCCTGCGAGACGGAAGGCTCCCAGAAATGGGAGCTTCGAAGTCCAGCAGCGAAGAGCCAAGTTCCAAGCCTCGCAACACAGACCTACAAGCCCTCAGTTGCCCTTATACTTAGAAAAAAATCCCTCAACCCTGAACCCTAAACCCTAAACCCTAAACCCTAAACCCTAAATAGTGAGAAGGCACAGCCCATCAGATTAGGGTTTAGGTTTCAGGGTTTCGGGTCTAGGGTTTGTAGAGTCAGGCTTTTTTTTGGCAGACTCTGGCCCCCCAAGACAAGCCCAGCCTCGACCTTACTCCGTTGCGTCTCATCCTTGTCGCCACTGCACTGAGGAGCAGACTGTGAAGAAGCGGAAGCAGACCTGGCAGGACAAGTCCACGCAGGGTTTAGTGTTTGGGGTTTAGGGGTTTATAGGGCTAAGGGTTTAGGGTTTACAGGGCTTAGGGTGCACAGGGTTTAGGGATTATAGGCTTTGTACAGTCACTATAGTCCAAGTTTGTTTTTCCTATTCCCTGCCTTGCCCACTCAGAAGCAGCAAGATTCTTTGGGGTTGCAGGCGAGATGGCACAGTGAACACATGATAGTGCCATTGCGTTGTGCCGTTAATGGTCTTAAAAGTGCGGAGCCCCAAACCTACTCTCGTGCAGGCTATGATTTGACAATTTGACAAGCCCTTTTTTACGATTCTTTTCGGCTCTTACAGTAGGGTTAAGCCTTGGCGGGTCGTTCTTCTTGAGCCTGGAGATAGGCGGCAACCTTATTTGTCCATGTGGGCGGGCGACCCATTGTAATTAGATGGAGCAGTCCTGGCACTACATAAAGCCCTCAAACAAAGTTAACCTTTACTCTAAGCCCCAAGGCCTCGACCTTCTAAGGGTTTAGAGTTTACGGTTTTAGGGTGGATTCGGCTTTAGGGGCTTCAGTGGCTCTAAATTTAGGGGTTGTAGGGTTTAGGGTTTAACTCACTAAACCCAACTCTTCGTGGCGCGTGGGATCGAGGATCCGTCAGACGGAGCCAAAGGTGATCTCGCGGAGGCGGCGACTTGAAGACTCAGGGTACCAAAAGGTCAATATACATATCTGTATAGCTAGCTACTACAACACCTACTGCAGCAGCTGCTGCTGCTGCTGCTCCTACTACGACGACGATGACGACGACGACGACGCCGACGGCGCTGCCGGCCGCGGCGGCGGCGGCGACGACGACCACGACGACAACGACGACGACCACGACAATGACGACCGCTGCTGCCGCCGCCGCCGCCGGCTGCTGCTGCTGCTGCTACTACTACTGCTACTCGTGTAGAAGTACCAGCAGTGGGAGCAGTAGCAGTAGCTGAGCATCATAGGCTTCTTGTTTGCCGGTTTGCTGTTTTAAACAGCTACGGTGATTCAGTCATTTCTGCGAATTATGATTGCCTGGTTACTTGTTTCATATTCACGGCTGGGCCTGTGTCGTTGGGGCGAATCACAACACCTCGGCCGCCAGATGGGACCTGGGGGGGGTCCAAGTTAAGCAGAGACCATGAGCTGGGAAAGTGATATCAGCTTTTTCGTCCCCTGTCGCCCTCGACCCTATAACCTTAACTGCCAAACCGCTTCAATGTTTGAGGGTTTAGGGCTTGGGGTCTTATGCCCTGGAATTCAGGGGGTCCTGGACCTATGAACCTGTTGGGCTTGCAGACACATGTGAAGCCTCAACCCAACAAGCCTTGAAGCCACGAGATTCGTCTGTAGCACTTTGTAGGCCCGAAACTTAGGGTTTAGGATTTAGGGTTACGGCCCCAGGTGAGTCGTGGATCCGAGCTGGATCCGGTACCAGCAGAGGTCTGCAGAGATGTCCTTCGCGAGAGTCGGTTGGAATTTTGTGCGGGGACGTCGACGGAGCTGCTGGGATTCAGCATTGCGATCTGTAGGATTTGTCAGGGCTTAGTGAAGTTCAGGAGGTTTTGGATTTCGGGGTTTTGCGTCTGCCACCACCTTGAAAAGCCCTTAACCTCCACTGTAGACCCCTTATTATTTCTAAAACCCTAACCCTAAGCCCCAAAACCCTATATAAACCCTAAACCCCAAAACCCTAAACCCCTTAACCCCAAAGCCCAAAACCCTGAACCCAAAACCCAAAACCCTAAACCCCTCAGCTGTGTCCACAACCCGCTGCGATGATTTGCTTAGTAGCCCAGTGGTACCCTTTACCCTTTTTTTGGCTCTGGATTCCCTCCTAAACCCTAAACCCTAAACCCTAAACCCTAAACCCTAAACCCTAAACCCCAAAGAAAGGGTGCCCTCATGATAGTATGGTTACTGGGCGCCAGGTCCCGCTCCTGAGACGGACAAAGCCTCGGACTGCGTGACAAAGCAGCGCCACACTTTGGGTTCAGGGTTTAGGGTTTGGGGTTTACGGTTTAGGGTTTAGGGTTTTGGGGTTTCGGGTTTAGGGTTTAGGGTTTAGGGTTTAGGGTGGGGGTTTGTGGGGTTTGGGGACGAAGAAACTCTTGTAAGGTGCAAGACGGATATAGGCAAGACGGAAGGCCGCAGCGTGACAGAGGCACAACGAATTTAAGTAGTTACATAGACAAATAATTCTTAGTAGTGCAGTGGTACCCTGTACCCCCTTTTTTTTGGTTATGGGTTCCCTTGTAAAGCAACCAACCAAAAAAGGGGTGCCCTTATTATGAGATGGTTACTGGGCTACCAATTAGGTAACCACTTTTCAGGAACACTCTAAAGTGATTATCGAAGGTGTAAGCTACTGCCACCTGTTGCCCTCAATGGCCTAGGAGGCTCTGTTGCTTTGCACACCTATTTTGGTTCAGAGTATAGGGCTTCGGCATCCGCCAGAATGTCCAAAAGATCGATTGATGGTCGAGTCGCCCAATCCCCAAACATGAAACCCCAAGCTTTAGCTCCAAACCCCAAGCCCTACACCCTACATACTAAGCTGAATATCCCTAAGCCCTAGTAAACCAAAACTCTGGAAGGGTAGCTCAAAACCCGACAACCGAACACCTCCAAACTCCATACCCTGGGACTCTCTGCGGCTCTACCTACTCTGTAGCTACGGCTGTACTTGCTACTAAGCTGTAGGCAAAGCGAGAGTCCCAGGCACACCCTCAAAACCTAAACCCAGAAGCTCAACAACCCCAACAAGCCTAGACTCAAAACACCCTCATACTTCAAACCCTGCAACGCAAAAGCACTAAAACCCTACATTAAACTCCCAAAAGTTGGATCCTGATACCCCAAGAAGTTGACTAAAGGGAATTTAGGGAACCTGAAAAAACTTACGGAACCTTGGGGAGCAGTGGGAAGTTTTAGGGAACTTTTGGTTGCATACCCCTCTCGAACCCTAAAACCTAAACCCTAAACCCTAGACCCTAAACCCTAAACCCTAAACCCTAAAGAACCCTGTAATTGCTGTAAGTGTCATTGGCCAGCAGCAGCTCCGCAGCCATTGGCTTTGGGGCTGGAGAAGCGCAGCTTCGTAAGTTGAAGAAGCTCTGCCCTCTTTCCAGGGTTTAGGGGTTAGGGTTTAGGGTTTAGGGTTTAGGGTTGAGGGGTTTCAGGATTTCAGGGCTTAGGGTGTAGGGCTGAGGGCTGGTGTTGAAGGAGGTCGTTGGTATTCTTGCTGCCAGATTTGGACTTAGAGCTTCCCAAAACTTAGCCCTAAACCCTAAACCGTAAACCCTAAACCCTAAACCCTTTTGATCTTAGCCCCCAACCTTCTTGAGAGCCGTATGGAGCCACCACACCATGGGCTGTGGCTGGCGGCCCAGTGTCACACAGATGGTTTGGTCCTTGATTGCATGCTCCTGAGCTCCTAAGGGTTTAGGGTTTAGTGTGAAGGGTTCGGGGTTTAGGGTTAAGGGTTTAGGGCGATAAGGCCTGTAAGCCCTATAATCCCAATACACCTACAAATCCTATAAGCCCTCTTAACCCTATGAAACCCCGTCAACCCTCAAAACCCTAAGCCTACAAGTTTGCTCCTGAAACCCTGGAAACCTGAAACCTTAAAGCCCCTAAGCCTGAAAGAAATGACAACCCGAAAGCCCCACATTAACCCCTACAATAAGGAGTCTTATCTTGGGGTATCCTGGTAAGTGAACGAAAAAAGGCACTAACCCCAAAAGCCGTTTGGCCTCAGCCTTCGTCGCAGTAGAGACCTCTTCTGTAGCGGTTTACGGCGCCCGGAACAGAGCGAAAATGGCTCTGTGCCAGCGCTGCATCTGCCGATATTGCCGTCGCAACGTTGGCGTGTTTTTTCTTCGCGGCCTGGGTGTCGCGCTGAGGCGCCACGAGCGGACATGCGAGGCCGCCAGGCACTTTTTGAATCAGGAAGCAGCAGACAGAGCAGAGGAAAAGGGCGATGCGCCATCACAGGTGGAACCCAATGTGGCGCCATCTCGCGTGGATGTCGTGAAGCAGCCGGATCGGCCAGACGACCTGGACACATGTGGACCGCCCTCCCAGCCCTCGCGGCCTGCCCATAAAGTCTATCTGTATATGTATGATCTCTTTGGCGGGCGGAGCATTGGCCGCATCTTCCTCGGCAAGAAACTCCAGGCCGTATGGCAGACGAGCATCGTTGTAGAATGGCCAAACAATTGCTGTGAACTCTGGTATGACAACCGAATCTTAAGATTTGGTTGTCGTACCAGATTTCACAGCGATTGGGTGAAACAAATTTGTTTCACCTCCAGGGCAAACTCCATTTCGTACCCCGGACCAGAAGAGGCTGCTGGGGACCACCCCAATGCCTCACGTTACCATGATGGCGTACCTGGAATGTTCCGACGACGAGTGGACCGGCCACTATGACCTTGCGCGGCGCAACTGTGTGCATTTGAGCGACTGGGTGGCACGGAGGCTGCACCTGGCAGCGTTGCCAGATGACCTCGTAGGGCAAGCTGCGCAAGTAATGCAGACACCGGTACCCTCAACATGGTGGAGCGGCTGCGAGGTGACGCAGCACGGCTGTGATGTCAAAAATTTGACATCACAGCCGTGCTGCGTCACCTCGCAGCCGCTCCACCATAAACCTTTCTGGCCAAGACGTGCTCTCTGGCTTTTTTTCAGCGAGATCAATGTGACAAAAATTTGGCACTTGGCATGGGATCTGAGAGACCAAAGAAGTCTCGCGATTCCCAGAAGGGAAGCTTTTGCAACCAGCAGTCTCACCCCTGAAGATGAACTGCGTCGTCAACTGCCACCTAAAGTAGGAGGAGCAGCACTCACAAAACCGACGCCTCATGATGTGAAGCAGTTGGCGGAAGGGGGGAGGGGGGGTTTGCCCATTCAGCCCTAAACCCGAAACCTTTAATCAATCTTAACCCTTACACCCTCCGTGTCGAAGTCTTCTGTTTTTCGGGATGCAGCAGAAGAGTAGAGATCCTAAACCCTAAAACCTTAAAGTCCGAAAACCCGAAAACCTTGACCTCCAGTTGGGGCCCCACAGGGGCGGCTTCGGGCTTCCGGGTGTAGGGGTTTAGGGTTTAGGGGTTTAGGGGTTTTAGGGTTAAAGGGAGTAAGGGTTTAAGGGTTTAAGGGTTTAAAAGGGGGTAGGTTTACGGGTTTGAGGGTTCAGGGTGTGGAGGGTCTTGGGGCTTGGGGGGGGCTTTGGGGGGTTTAGGAGCTTTAGGAAGTTTAAGGCTTTGGGTTTTTGGATTTCGGGGTTTTGCTTCTGCCACCACCTTGCAAAGACCTAAACCCCTGCTGTGAACCCCTTATTCTCCCCAAAACATCCCAAAACCCTAACCCTAAGCCCCGAACAACCAAAAACCCCTCAGCTGGGACCACAACCCGCTGCGATGATTTGCCGCCAGAGCTTGCCAGGCCCCGCTCCTGAGACGGACAAAGCCTCGGACTGCGTGACAAAGCAGAGCCACACTTAGGGTTTAGGGTTTCGGGTTTAGGGTTTGGGGTTTAGGGTTCAGGGTTTGGGGTTTAAGGGTTTAGGGTGGGGGTTTGTGGGGTTTGGGGGACGAAGAAACTCTTGTAAGGTGCAAGATGGATAGGCCGCAGCGTGACAGAGGCACAACGAACCTAAGTAATTCCATAGACAAAAATTAAAAAATGAATGCTTGCACATATATATATATATATTATATTATATATATATATATATATATCGTATGTAGCTACTTCCTCTACCGATTTTCAGGAACACTCCGAAGTGATTATCGAAGGTGGAACCTATTGCCACCTGTCGCCCTCAATGCCCTAGGAGGCTCTGTTGCTTTGCACACCTATTTTGGTTCAGAGTAAAGGGCTTCGGCATCCGCCACAATGTCCAAAAGATCGGTTGATGGTCGAGTCGCCCAATCCCCGGACATGAAACCCCAAGCTTTAGCTCCAAACCCCAAGCCCTACAGTCACTAAGCTGAATATCCCTAAGCCCTAATAAACCAAAACTCTGGAAGGGTAGCTCAAAACCCGACAGCCGAACACCTCCAAACTCCATACCCTGGGACTCTCTGCGGCTCTACCTACTCTGTAGCTACGGCTGTGCTTGCTGCTAAGCTGTAGGCAAAGCGAGAGTCCCAGGCGTAAACCCAGAAACTCAACAACCCCAACAAGCCTAGACTCAAAACACCCTCATACTTCAAACCCTGCAACGCAAAAGCACTGAAACCCTACATTAACCTCCCAGGAATTTAGGGAACCTTAAAAGACTTACGGAACCTTGGGGAGTAGTGGGAAGTTTTAGGGAACTTTGGGTTACATACCCCTCTCGAACCCTAAACCCTAAACCCTAAACCCTAGACCCTAAACCCTAAACCCTAAACCCTAAAGAACCCTGTAATTGCCGTAAGTGTCATGGGCCAGCAGCAGCTCCGCAGCCACTGGCTTGGGGCTGGAGAAGCGCAGCTTCGTAAGTTGAAGAAGCTCTGCCCTCTCTCCAGGGTTTAGGGTTTGGGGTTTAGGGTTTAGGGTTTCAGGGCTTAGGATGTAGGGCTGAGCGCTGGTGTTGAAGGAGGTCGTTGGTATTCTTGCTGCCAGATTTGGACTTAGAGCTTCTCAAAACTTAGCCCTAAGCCTAAACCCTAAATCGTAAACCCTAAACCCTAAACCCTTTTGATCTTAGCCCCCAACCTTCTTGAGAGCCGTATGGAGCCACCGCACCATGGGCTGTGGCTGGCGGCCCAGTGTCACACAGATGGTTTGGTCCTTGATTGCATGCTCCTGAGCTCCTAAGGGTTTAGGGTTTAGTGTGAAGGGTTCGGGGTTTAGGGTTAAGGGTTTAGGGCGATAAGGCCTGTAAGCCCTATAATCCCAATACACCTACAAATCCTATAAGCCCACTTAACCCTATGAAACCCCGTCAACCCTCAAAACCCTAAGCCTACAAGTTTGC